ATCTGGAATGCCGTTTTTATATAAGCACCTGAAACGTGCAAAATAAACGGTGCGGCGGCATTTTTAAAAATGCCGCCGCAAATGCCGCCGCACTTATAAGATGCCCCAAACGGGCCCTAAGTTTCCTAAACAGCTTGCTGATGGGATTGTGCTCTAAATGCAGACTGCAAAGCTTCATAATGTTACTGCGGACGCATTAGGAGTGATGCTGGTCGAGGAATTTTATGGTGATATGGTGAATTGTTGTCGTCATTGAATTCTTTTCATATTGATTTTATTTGTCTTAGTAAATAGAGCAATATGGAAGCTTTTGGAGGCCACTCAAAAGTACTTTGACATCATGGAATTGGCATTTATTGTCTGAAAATAGAAACCTTATACAAATGGGAAATTATAAGATGAAGTCGTTCATTTTGTCACTGTTTTTCAACGCGATGATCCTTGGTATTCAGAGGCTTTAGAGATGAAATAAGATGCATGAATCCAATTTTGATTTTTTTTAATGACATGTTCCATGGATATGAAGGGGAATATTTAGATTTATCTTATAAAACTATGAAGTCATAAAAATTGGGATATTTTCTAAGATGAAAAAGTTTACAGATTGAGGTAAAATTTTATCAGGATGATTTTCGAATTAAATTACCACATTGGAATTCATAGATGCACCGTAATTTTGTAGGTTCAATCTAAAATGAGTAGAATAGGAGTGGTAATCTTTCTTAATTGGTTCTGTCCTTAGGCATTATCATCATATAATATATTTAGTTTAAGTTGTGAAAGCCTGACATGTTATGTTTTTAGTTGCTTTCATCATTTGCATAGTGGATATTACTAGGCATTGGTTTTAGTATATGCTGTATCAGTACAAATGACATGTTATCATTTTGAATATATTCAAAAGAAGCAAATAAGTAAAGCAACATTCTACTCTTAGGGGCCATTTTTTTTATTTTTTTGTTCATATTTTGATATAAAATAAAATTATGTATGATATCTTGTTGTTTTGTACTTTGTTCAAGATTTTAAAAGCTTCTTTCTACTCGAGGACATTGGCTCTCTTATTCTTTCTTAGTTGGCATGCAATTGGAATGTAAGACTTATTGAAGGGGATGTGCACTCCATGGGGAGGCTTGGGTAGCTGAAGATAGCCTTCCCCGCCACATCGATGGCCAAGACTGGGATTGTGGTTATAAACTTTTTCAATAGCTTTTGGTCTTTGTTTTATTGACTTCTCCACTTTTGGGTTAAGTTCGACATGGTTGATAAGGAAGGCTAGGCAATTAAGTTGGGGTGTGGCAGGGGTGGTGAACTAATACTGACAATTAATTTGGGCGGGTCGAGGAGTAAGTGGCCATGGTTTTGTTGATGCTGCTCTCTCTTTCGTTCTCCATCCCGATCATGGGGTCAAGGGAGTCGTATGGGGACTAGGACAGGGTGACAAGATGGAATGGAATCCGGAAAGATGGTAAAATATTTTTTAAGCATTTTAAAATAAATTACTTAGATTGTGAAAATAAGAAAGAAAATAGGTAAACAAATATGTTTCGTCATCTTTTGAAAAACAAGTAATGCCAAACAGACCCTTAGTTTCTTCTTACAAAATGCATCTAAGCTGCTTATTTGAAGATGCTTGGTGATATTCATGCCCATAATGTAATAGTTGTTTCTTACACAAATACAAATATGCCTATCCGAGAGGTTTGTTGATAATCAAACTTTGACTAGGACTGAACCACTTTAGACCCTGCAGCAAATAACTTGGAGGTCTGAGCAGAACCTCCAATCTAATATCAAGCTTATTCTAGGTAGGTCATGTCCTTCCATTTTTATATTAAATGAGCATTAGCCAACTGGAACTCTTGATAATAAGACAGTGATGTATTTTGTTCCCATTTCCATCGATGAGTTTGTTTTTTCTCTTAATTATAATATCTTCATTGTCAAAGTGAGTGCTGACTCTGTGCCGGTAGGAATTGAATTTATGTTGGAGACTTATGAGTTTTTTGTCAGTTGTTATGATGCAAAATGATATGTGAGGAATTCTTGATTTTATTAAGTAGAATCTTGTTGTTTTGGAATTTGATGTAATGTTCTAATGAAAATGAATTGAAAACAATAAAACATTTCTTATTGGAAGCATAACAACTAATTTTATCAGATAAAATCTATAACTCCGCTTCAATATGAACATTAATGCATTTTACATGTGGTAATTCTAGTTGATCATGGTATATTTTGCCTGCAAGGTCAATGGCGTGTGGTATACTTACCAAAATACCCTTTAGCGCTTGTTTTTTTTTTTTCATATTAATCAATTAAGGAGGCATTTGTTTCAGCTTTTCAGATTAAGTTCGCATCCGTGTTTAAGCTTCACGCGTTTGAATAAACATTTAGTAGAACGAGGTGGCAACCACGGGCGTTGTTTCATTATAGAGTGTGTTTGCTTCGGTTGTGACTGTATAAAATCTCAGTTCAAAAACTGTTATGGAAAATCTACTATTTAAAAATTGATTTTCCGGAAAAAATAAGTCTGTCTGAAAAATACAGTTTTCGTGTTGCCTCTAGACCAATGTCTGAAATACCCCTCTACTTAGATTATAGAAAATTCATAATTTTTATAGATGTATTTATTTCTCATATTGAACTGTATTATTTAAACAAGCAAAAAAAACAAAAGTAAACTCAAAGTTAAATTATAGAATCAAGAGAAAACTAGATTTTAGAAATAACATTTTTCTAAAAGAGTTTCAAAATGAACAAATATTCAGAATAAGGCCAATGATTAGGAGTCAAGTGCTATTTACTCACAACACTTTTATCATAGCATGCATGACGATATATAGTAGCACATTGAAGTAAGGAGAACATAAATTGTATTTTTTAAATAAAAAATGGTAATACAAACATGGGTTAAACATAATATCTTCAACATAAGCTGCCTCACAATCAGATCTATGAGTTCTGTCACTAATAAATTCTACATTAGTACAATTTGCATTTGAATTTACATTTTCACCTTAAAAAAAAAGACAACTAACAACCATAACATAAATGCTATGGTTATAAAATTAAATAAGTGCAAAGCCTATCATAAGAAATTTCAAGACTTAAAGATTCTTTTTAACTGTATCTTCAAATGCATTT